ATGCCCAGAGGGCAGCCCCCTTCCCCCCTCCACTGTCCAGCCACAGTCCGCGAGATGCCCAGAGGGCAGCCCCCTTCCCCCCTCCACTGTCCAGCTACAGTCCACGAGATGCCCAGAGGGCAGCCCCCTTCCCCCCTCCACTGTCCAGCTACAGTCCACGAGATGCCCAGAGGGCAGCCCCCTTCCCCCACAGCCGCAGTGAGCTTCAGAAAGCCTCTGAAAAGCCTGGGGCTGAGGGAGTCCACCCTGAAGGAGGGTCAGCTGATGGAGCCTGGCCTTCACTGGAAGCCCCTGAGACTTCACAGTAGGCCCAGGAGGCCTTATGTGGTGCTGGAGAAGTGAGCCTCAAGGCAGCCCTGTCCACAGTCTGCAGACTGGACTCCTGCAGGCTTCTCCCCAGAACTGCTTGCCCCCAGCTTACCTCGTGGTCAATGCTCTCTGTGGCCATGCACTGGTTGTTGGCCAGGGTGGTCATCTCCCGGCTCTTTGGAGTCTCCATCCGGCAGCTGCACAGAGGCACTTCCTGGAGGCCGTCCACATCGGCCACCCCAGGCCCATTGGCCAGCCCTGTAACACACATGGGCAGGCATCAGTGCTGTCTGGAGGCTGACGGCAGAGTGAAGAAGGCTGTGGCCATCCTGAACCTCAGGGGGATCGAGAGGCAACTGTTGTCACTTGTCCTCAAGGACGCCACTACCACTCTGCTGTGTCCCCAAACCCACTGGTCACTCCTACTCCTCCGCTGGGCAAGGGAGCCGACCCTCCAGGCTTTCGCTGACACCTCATCTCCACACATGGGCTTGGGAGTGCAACACCGAGAAGATGTTAGTCAGCAATGGTTTATTTTATCATCCCATGTAGCACTGGGGAACGATGCACACAAACTGAGGGCAGTCAGGGCTCAAGACACCGATGGATGACAATGGCAATGGAAACTTAGCAACTCCCATTCACGGTGACAACTAGACATGGCGATGACCGGCGGGTTCGTCACCATCCCAGTCTCGCTCCCCTCTGCCCCTCCTGGCTTCTATTGGTGTGGTAATGACACAAATTCAACTCTACAAAACTCAGGTCAAAGACCAGGGGCATGGGAACACCAAAATTGCACAACTCAGGCCTGAACTCTCTTGCCTGCAGTCCAGACATGGCTGTCCACCCACAGACCCTGCTCAGCAGGTGCCTCTGCTCTCAGGGGCACCCCGGGTCTCCCTGGGAATTGGAGCCAGCTCTGAGAGGCCTGAGTGAAGTGACCAGTCTTCTCCCAGTTAACTACAAGCCTGGACAGGTGAGCATCTGCCACTGGGACATGCGTCTGGGGAGTCTGTTTCTGAATTGCCAGGGAACCAATGACTTTGGAAAGCCTTAGTAAATAAATCAGCCCTCCCTCCCCTCTGCTACTTCTCCAGCGTGGCTCTCACCATTTGGGCTTCACTTTACCACCGTTAGAGAACCAGAATATAAAATGCAAAGGTGGACGGGCCTGGAGATGTCATCTCATTCAATCTTGGCTCAAGGCCACGAAGTTTAGTTGGCAGGCAGTTTTTTGCTGACCCTTCCTGCCTCTGAAGCCATCACTGTAGGTGCAGCTACAGACCCTTCCTGATCAAGTATTTCCTCCTTACAGCCAGATCTGTAAGCCCAGGGCGTTACTACTTAATCCAGAAAGCCAGCACAGCCTGACAACAGCAAGAACAGCATGATACTGCGGAGGCCGTGCCACCCATGGGTGCCAGACAGAAGACAAAGTGCGTCTGTGATGGACACACTTAAGGTTGACATCTCATTAAAGATGCAATTTCCTAAACTAAATTAAGCTAGACTGACATCTCATTAAAGACGTATTTTTCCGAAACAGGTGAATTAAACCCCTCCAGTGTAAGACGTCCAGACAAGCCAACTATCTGTCCATTAAAGAATGGTTCATTAAACCCTTAGAGGCCAATAACCCAGGACTACAAAATCCATGGAACTGCAAACAATGACAGAACTTTCCATTTTCCCACATGTGCCTCAAGCCAATTTTGTGGAAGACTCAGCTAGTTTCTCTGCATTGATATGAATGCAGTGGCCTAGAGAGAGGGGCACAGTCAGGCCGGGAGTTCAGGGTTCCCAGCCTGGGATGTTTGTGCATCAGTGGGATGGGCCCAAACACAGTATTAAAGACAGTGGTGCTCTACCACAGAATAGGTCTGAGATCGCTTCAACAGTGCTACTTTACACTTCAGCCACGTAAATCTAGAATCAGAGAGCCCAATGATCCCCAATTTTGTCACCCATGTGTACCCTGAAAGACCATGAAACAAGAAGGCTTCATTGCTAAGGAATTCCACACTGGAATGGGCATACTGGGGGTGGGGGGTGGGGGGTAGGAGAGATGCCCTCCCGAGACAGGTGCAACCCTCCCACCTTACAGGAGGAGCGCACGACTTGATCCTTCAACACAATCTTTTCAAGCGACCTGAGAACTTTCCCTAGTTTTCTATCTCTTCACTTGATTAAGTGACCGTCTGTTCCATCTCATTGTTGTTGTGAAGTGCCGTTGAGTCACTTCCGACCCATAGCAACCCTGTAAAGGGTTTCCAAGGAGCAGCTGGTGAGCTTGAACCACCAACCTTGCAGTTTAAACGGTTTTGCAGTCTGGCACATTAACCCACAGCGCCACACCAGGACTCCAGGACTCCATTAGATGAGGTTTTTAATCAAATTTCCTACTGAAATCCACCAGGGGGCATTCTCCCAAAACAGAGGAGAAAGCCAAGCTCACAAAGAACCAAGATGGTGCCCGCCACATTATTTCAGAACTGCCATCACCTTCTGCTTGTGAGGACAAAATCCCTTTGACACGCAGATCCAGAGAATCCAAGGGCACTTCCATGTACCCCATGCTGTCTCCGGGGGCAGGCTGCTCTGTGCTTCCTGAAGATGATTTGTACGCCTCAGAACCTGCATTTGAAATGTACACACTGTGAGACGCAGTAAGCCTCGACAGCCAGGAGGCCAGCATGGAGGGCCTGTGTCTAGTTTAGCAATTTGGAAAACACACCAAAATGTATGACTAGTTACAGTCTTCCTGTCTTTTTTCCTTTTTTGTGAATCATTTTGTGAATTCTCCATTTCCACACAATAGTGGTGGGGAAACAAAGACTGGCACACGCTGTATCTAACAGCTAACGGCACCAACTGGACAAGCTGACCAAACGTTTCAGGAACTGCATGAAAACATGGCATGCATATGTCTTGTGAACATTACTTCTAAAGTAAAACATTGTTTCTAAAATCAATCTCTGACTTGGAGATTTGAAAGGACAGTAAGGATGATGGTGTCGGAGAGAAAGCCCACTCTCCAGTCCCTGGATATGGTGCTGGGACCCCTAAAGGGAGGCTGGACTGGAAGGCCCTGAGGAAGTCTATGGCCGGGGCAGGAAGGCCGTTTTCAGAGTTAGAAGCATGCAGAGTAGATGCTGCACAGACTTCAATGGCCTGCTCTGTCCATCAGAGGAAGCTGTATGGTGGCAGGCCAACCAGACACAGGCTGAGTCCCCTACTTGGGAAGGGTCATGGTGCGGAAGCCCGAAGGAGGGCACACTATGAGCCCAGGGCAAACGTCTGTCCTTCACGTCTCAGCACTGAGACATCATTTCATGCCCAGAAGGAACAGAACCAAGAGACAAAGCGGTGGCACCTGAAGCCCGTCAGTGTGTCACCTCCTACACTGTGGGCACATCCGAGAAGTCATCACCATCACCTGGGACAGCATGGGGAGCCTTCATGCAATTTTAAACACTGTATCTACGGAAAGAAAATTCCAATTTCTGTAGAAATAAACATGTAACCATATGCTTCGCACATTACAGCCGAAGAACAAAGATGGAGTCTCTACACATGTTTTTCTTGTAAACAATACAAGCTACCTTGGTGTTAGGGTCTCAATTACTAGTCTGTGATGGAGGAGCAGCCAGTGAGGGTCAGAGGTGGGCACCAGGGCCTACATAGGCCACGCTGCCCAACACAGCAGAGTACCCGGTGAACACAGGGCTGCGGTAACTACCTTCCCACAGCCAGACCATGCCAGGGATGACTTTCTCCTCGGTGATTCAGACGCTACTTCGAGATCACAGAATCTAGATAAATAACTAAAATAAATTTTCAAAACTGCAGCCTTGTGGTATTGGTGTGAAGGTCAGCAAGTGCTGACAGAACACAGAAAGAAAGCCTGACTCACACGTGGTGTTCCAATGATCGCCCTAGGTGATCCAATGGGAAATCGAGGCAGACCCAACCAACAGTGCTGGCCGAACTGCACACCCATGTGAGCTCTACCTCACTCCGAACACAACAGCTCGGATGCCCACAGGAAAAGGTGACTGAAAAGTTCAAAAGAAAACAAACGGGGGACAAAATTTTGTGACCCGAGTTAGACAGAGATTTCTCAGATGGGGCATAAAAAACCATGAAGTCACAAAAATAAATAAATACATAAATTAGACTCCCACAGAATCTTAAAAAACGTTGCTCTTATAGTGTTGTAACACTATTCAGAAAACAAAAAGGCAACCCACAGAGTGGGTGAAAATATCTATAAAATGTACATCTGCTGAAAGATTTGTTAAGTGCCGTCGAGATAGTTTCTGAGGACAGCAGCTGCTGGGTTTGAACTGCCAACCTTATGACTTGCAGTCCAGTGCTGATTCTATAGCAGCACACCAGGAGACAAAATATATATACGAGAAAGGGTTATAACTTGAGGAGACAACTTGACTTTAAAATGACAAAAGATAAGAAGAGACACTTCTCAAAACACGACACACAGAGCCAGTAATTCTATTCCTAGGTCTGTACACAAAACACTTGAAAGCCGGGAGTCCAACAGATAGACAACAATGTTCACTCACAACTATCCACAGCGGCCAAAAGGTGGAACCAACCTAAGTGCCCATCAATGGATGAATGAATAATCCAAATATGGTACATACATACAATGGATTATTACTCAGCAAATAAGAAAAAATACAAGTTATCAACACATGCTTTAATATAGAAGGGGCTGTAAGACATGCAGAGTGAAATAATCAATCACAAAACAAGCAATACTGCGGATAAAAACAGAGAACAGGCAAATGTATAGAGATCAACGTTGTTAGTGGTTACCAAAGGCCGAGGCTGGGGCTGGAGGTAGGAGAGCTGTGGAGTACTGAATCTGTTTATGGTGGTAGAGAATCACACTGAATACAGGCAGAACCGCACAGCTGACTAACATCGCTGCTGTTCCTACACTGTACACCTGTAAATTCTGAGGTGGCAAAACTTGTGAGATGGACTATTTATAATGATGACCCTTCAACAAAGATGGACTATTTATAATGATGACCCTTCAACAAAATCTTTTCAACCCCCCAAACAGAAAATAACTTCTGAGACTGCTAATGGACAACCAAACACCTCATGGGATTTGGTTCCTTAGTTTGAAGGTTTAGGGACATACCAGTTAAATGGACAAAAATCATCTTCAATTCTCCTTTTCTACCTCCTAGTTCATTTTGTAGGCTTTAAAAATTCACAATTGTTGTTATGTTGCCACTATGTCAACTGATCTAGTTGGGGATCTTCTTTTTTCACTGACCCTCTATTTCATCAAGCATGATGATGTCCTTCCTTCAACAGGGATTGATCCTTCCTGACAACATGTCCAAAGTATGAAAGACAGGGAGACTCTGATCCTTCCTGACAACATCCCCAAAGTATGAAAGACAGGGACTCTCACCATCCTTCCTGACAACATCATCCCCAAAGTATGAAAGACAAGGACTCTCACCATCCTTCCTG